GTAAAAAATCTTGTTCAGAGGTTTTTGGCAAGCATGAAAGGGTGCGGTCGGCGCCAAAGTCTTTGGAAACGCTGACCGAGCCCCAGCGGACAGGACCTGGAGTCGCTGTAGAAAACCAACGAGCAACTCTCACGCGCTTGCGACCCCCTCAGAAGAGGCGGGGCGGGCAGCACTACGTCCGGCGTCGCGGGCGTGACGTCAGGGCGGCGACTCGGAAGCTTTACGGGACGTGTCGCGCGGCAAGGTTGCTTTACGGCCGCCGCGGGTTGCAGCTGTTCCAGGACAGGTGTGCTGGACTGACGGTCGGGAGGTCTGGACGGGGCGGGCTTACCTCGGGCGTCCGGGTGAAGGAGTCGCAGCAGTCGGCGAGCGGTGTCCCGAGTGGCCCGCGAGAGGGAGGCCAAGGGCGGGGGCCCAGCGGTCCCGCGGAGGCTTGCTCGAGGGCAGCACCGCCGCCCGGCCGGGCGGGGCGGGCTGGGGCGCTGCAGGCTGAGTGCGGCCCGCGGCGTCGCTCCCGAGCCCCTCGCTCCCTCCTCCGCTGAGGACGACGCACGCGTGCTGCGCCCAGCCGCTCTGTGTTGCCAAGGGCTGGTCAGAAGTTTCGGAAGTGCGACGTGCATCGCTGCTCAACGGAGTTTCCCGATGTCCGGCGTCGGGCATGGAGACGGGAGACTGAAATCCCAGGGCTCCTGGGCCGTCCTTGTAACACCCAGTGACCGGGGAGAGTGGGGTTTGCTGCCCGCCCTGCTCTCGTACTGAATAGCAGCCCCTAGAGCTGTGGAGTAGTGAATCCCCAAACTTGAGAGCATTGCCTATGAAATTTCCCAGATTTTGCTGTTTCTTACAAGGTCCCAGAAGTGTCTGGGCATCGAATAAGTTGAGTGTTCTCTGTTGCAGAGAATACATGTTTATGATTCAGCGAATGGAAATGAAAACCTGAGACTTTTTGCCACTGGAAGGATAGGAATTGAACATAGAAAAACATTGAATTATTGTACAGATACGTGTGGTGTTATAATTTGTCTTAAAAATGGCGTTTTCTTTGTCAGAGTTTATAATCATGCCCTTACTTTGATGTGAATTAATTTAAGGAGATAGTGTTTCGATGAGAGTATTCTTTCGTGGGAAATTAACTGTTGCAGAGGTTTTTGCTTTCAAGGGGAGGAAAGCCTCTTTGCACATAGATTCAATTTTTGTAAAAAAAAAAAAACAAAAAAACACCTTAGTATATAATTCACTACTGCCGGGCGGAGTGGCGCGCACCCTTAATCCCAGCACTCGGGAGACTGACGCAGGAGGATCGTGGTGAATTCGAGACCAGCCTGGGCTACAAAGTGAGCTCAAGGCCAGCCTGAACTGCATAGCGAGACCGGGTCTCAAAAAGACCAAAATAACAAAAAACACTAGGTAGTGTGTCTAGTAATCATGTCGTCTAGTAATCATGTGCGGGAGAGCGTAATAGAGTGGGCCCTCTGCGTGACATGTTGTGAAATAACATGCCCCATAGCTGTAGTGCATGCTGTGACCCTTATACTGTATTTGTATAATAACCGTTCTTGTGCCTGAGGAAAGCTTTGAATTGTATTTTGTGCATCACAAGAAGACCTAGAAATGCTCACTAAAATATACCATAAGTACTAAAGTTGTCTTGTATTTCTAAACTTCGTATTTAGAAATCACAGCATACTTGATTTTTCATTATTTTATTTGGTCTCGATGTTAATCAGGTGACATGTTGAATCACCAAGGAAATCAGTTCAAATAAAAAACTTCAAATAAAAATTAGTTCAGTAAAAAACTTGAATAACTAAAATAGGGTAGGGCCAGGGGTGGTGGCACATACTTGTAATCTCAACACTTGAGAGGCTGAGACAGGATGATTACCAGGAGTTTGAGGCCACCCTGGGCTACATAGTCCGTTCAAGGCCAGCTAGAACTACATAAGGAGACCCTGTCAGGAAACCAAAAAATAATAAAGTAAAATGGTACCAGATAAAGCTTACTTGCTCTGGAATATGGAAAATGTAGTTCAGAGGGAAGAATGTGGCCTTTACCTTCAAGAAAACACTTAACAGCTGTGAATTTTGTTATCATTGATTCCTAATGTTTCATTCATGAAATACTTTTCAAATTTTTTTCTTTTTTTGTTGTTTTGTTGAGATGGGGTCTCAGTCTCACTGTGTAGTGCAGGCTGGCTTTGAACTCACTCTGTAGCTCAGGCTGGCACTGAACTCATGGTGATCCCCCTGCCTCAGACTCCCAGGTGCTGAGATTACAGGTGTTTGCCACCACACTTGGCCAAATCTTTTTCTGATCGGCACTGAGAAGTCCCCAAAACATCATATAGACATGCTGTAATGCTATATTTAATTATACTTTCATACTTAGAGTCTAAATTTAAGTGAATATTTGGCAATGTAAAATATAGTGTGAAGAGCTTACTTATTACGAAAGTGACCTCTAAGATATATTAATGATAAGCACTGTTTTTGTATATATTGGTCTGAAACTGGATGGATATGGAGGGAAGGTGTTTTTTTTTTCTATCACAGATGGATTTTGTTTTTACCTAAGTTCAGTTCCTACAGGAATTTTTTTTTTTTTTTTTTTTTTGACAGGGAATTGAACTCAGGACTTTGCACTTGCCAGGTCCCACAGGAATTTAAAAGGAGACTTTATTTAAATTAGCAATTTTAATATCACCGTGTAGGATTTTGATCACTTTTTCTTAGTCTATAACAGTAACTGAAGAGAAATGAAAAATTTAAGTGAGTTGTGTTTTACATTTGCCTTAATTTAAATATATATATTTTTTCCCTTTTTTGCAGAGTGTGGTGGCGCATGCCTGTAATCCTGACATTCAGGAAGCTGAGGCAGGAGAATCACTGCAAGTTCAAGGCCAGCCCTGGCCACATAGTGAGTTTAAGGCCTGCTTGGGCTATAAGCAAGACCCTGTCCCAACCCCTAC